GGAAAGGAAAAAAATATAAAAAATGCGTATACCTTTTGAAAAAAGCACTACGCACTGAAAATAGTGCAATGTTTTCAATAGAGAACACCGTGCAGTATCGATGGGCAAAGATCCATTGAAGTCTGTGGGGGTGAGCTTGGGAGACTCCGTCGTGAATTGATTCTATTAAAATATTATTTTATCAATATAATGATGAATCTCGTTGTTAGTAATTACTTGTAATTATGAATATGACAAATGTTTATGTGTGCCAGTAACTACATAATGTGATGAAAATGAATAAAGTCTGATACATATTGGGAAATGATTATACTATTTTCAACAGGCTTCCTTTAGTCAGAGCACTTTGACAATAGCGATAATCATGTTTCTAATGAATTTTAAAGTGTTTGTATAGTTTGAACTACGTCAAGACACTAATTCATAGCGATTAGTTGAAAGCCATTCCTATCCATTCCGATCCATTCCTATCCATTCCTATCCATTCCGATCCATTCCGATCCATTCCGATCCATTCCTATCCATTCCGATCCATTCCGATCCATTCCGATCCATTCCTATCCATTCCTAGCCATTCGAATGGCTCGGAATGAGTTTTTTCCCCCTTGGTAATAGCTTTTCGACGCCATTCCATACTCTTATCTAAATCACCGGTTTGGGATGCGAGTTTTCCAAGATCTTGATATAAACTAAGAAGTAAAGGATCATTGACTGGGAGCTGTTTTAACAAGTGAATAAAATATTTCTCAGCCAGATCAAGTTTACTCATCTCCCACAGTAGTTTTCCTAATGTTTGAAGATTTGTCTCTTCATTCCCAAGTTGTTCTTTCATTTCCATGAGAACTTGTTGTAAGTCATGTTCATTATCGCTGCACAATGTCATTTGAATAATCCATACTTTGTTATTGCTGCTACGATTGGCACTTTTCACACGAAATATAGAACCAAGCATAAATAGGACTTCAGATTCATCTTTATAGTCGCTATATGGACTAATATCAGCAAATGGTTTTCCAGCAGCCATCTTAGGATCGGCATCGATTTCAAATAATACTGGTTCTAAATTCTCCACACCATCTGGAATATCGAGAAATGCAAGAGCCTGCTTTTTATCAGTACTAGTGGAAAAAAATGAATTTATTGAAATAAATTGGCCAAGCGTTTGTTTCAAAGTTTGCAGTTCATCACTAGATATCATTTGACTTCGATAAAGTTTTATAGATTTCTCAGCTTGATGATTTTTCAATTGGTCTTGAATGTCTGAGATATATGAACGAAACAAGAACATTGCATGAATATTTTGATCACGAAGAACTGCATTAAGAGTCTTGTAAAAGAAAGAGTCTCGTGTGTACCACCATAAAACATTGCCAGATGAATAATCATCTTGAAATTCCTGAATGTTGCTCAATTCGAAATCATTCTCTTTATATTGTTGTTTACAAAAAACAATAAGTTCATTTTTATTTGCAGCAGTGTATTTCAGTTGCAAAAGACAATGGATCAGAACTTGAGAAAAAACAAATTGTCCGTTTAGACCTGTTGTTGATTTACCTGCACCAGCGTTTGTGTTAAAAATACTAATCGATAATGGCTCTTCCACTTTTTTCTGGATTTTATGATCAGCTTTTATTCTGCAGATGAGTTCATCGAGGTCAGTATCAACAGCTTTCACCTATCAACAAAAAAATCACCAGAAGAAACCGAAATCGTTCAAAATTATTCTACTTTTGCAAATTTGTCAGCCCATTTCTTGTTACCTTTCTTATCCATGCAATATACATAGATCGATATAACTTGTCGCAGTTTGTAAATCGCAGGGACTATTTCTCGTCCCAATCGACCACTAACAATCATGACAACTCGCTCATTTTTTGATCGCTTTTCAATGAACTTTTGACATTGATCTACATCTTGGAACTTCTGTAGATGATTAATGATAGAGCGTAATTTTCGTTCGGTATCGCGAGCTTCTTTACCGTTGCTATTAGCATCCAACCAGATAAGACAAAATAATTCCAGTTGTAAATTGTCGACATCTCTATGAAAGCAATCAGTTGGTTTACTGGAAGTTGCCATATTAATAGGCAGGACTAAATTAGATCAATATTTTGGATGTTGTCGTTTTGATTTAGCTATCGAATATAAGAAACTTTTATTCCATCGAAAAAGTATATAAAATTGTCAGTGTGTGTGTGTGTCGGTGTAGCCGCAGCTGCTGACAGGTCTTACACTCACACCAAGCTACAACCGCGCATACCAACCCAAATCTGACAGAGCATTTAACGAAATATAATAGCTTCATGTCAGAAATAAAGCCTCGTGCTTGTGACTGCAAATGCTTACCTTTGAGAGAATAGGTATGAGGATATTATTATAGAGTAGCCCAATAATTCTATAGATACACCGACATACGTATAAAGTTGCTAGCACAAGATTGTGACTGCTGTAAAAGCATAGTCATACTGGATGTAGACATGAGGGCACAGTTACAATAGGGTAGTTATTAGGGAATAGTCATAAGGCGATACATGTAAGGGGACATATATATATATATATATATATATATGTAAAGGCATTGGTGAATAATTATAAGGAAGTAGCTCCATGGACGTATACCTATATAATGGTGCCGTGATAAAGGATAGTCATAGTGGCGCATGCTTATGGTGTGAAAGGCAGTACTATAATATTTGACTGATTTTCGGGTCTAAAACTCAAAGTTACAACTAAGGAAAGTATAATGATAAGTTATGTGAATAATGTTGTAACTTCAATGGGTGGTAGGGCCATTTCGGGGTTTCTGAATTTTGCTCGATAGTATAACCCTTAAAATGTGTCTGCAGAACTTAATTTTTTTCATAGTGGAGAGTTAATGTCGATGCGTGGTGTAAATTTGGGTTAAGAAAGGACAACAGCTTTTACAAGTAGGACGCTCGTACGTAGAAGTACTCGAAATCATTCGTCTTTTTACGATGGGTGTTACATAGCAGATTCATGTGTTTGATAGTTGAGAAACCAATAAAGCATGATTCAATGTAAAAAATCGCTCTATGATACTGACTTCCTAGCTATTGAAATCATTTTTTTAATAAGATAAATCATCTCTACTTGTAATTTTCAAAAAAAACTTGTTCTAGTATTTGTAATTCTCATATGAGGTTACGCATAAATATAAAGTAACAAAAGTCAACTATACCAAGTAAGTTTCGCTTTTAATCGTCCCCAACTCTTCCTTTCGATGTTGTGTGTGAGACGGCTCTGTTGTTTTTCGCAGAATGCGTTTGTTACTTTTCCAGCATGGCAAGCATTTTAAACTTCATCTCTCTCTATTTGCTTTATGTTTTGCTTTTTTAATTCTTTTAATCAGCACAGAGCAACAGTAACAATCTCAAGGTGAAGCCTTTATGACAGTTACCTGCAAAAAACGAAAATTCAGCTCGAAGGAAAAATACCTACTTATGCATAGTATACACTGACTACCAAAAATTATCCAACAAGAAGCCACGGTTCTCTCTCTCTCTCAATTTATACCTCTGGCATAACGAAAACGAGAGAGCTCGATTTGCATCAATGCTTAACCTGAAGGGTCTAGTACGAATATAGTAAGCTTTAGTTCCATTGGTCAAGTCGTTCCTGTTTTTTTAGTAACGAAACAAACATAATATACAATTTTTCGTCTTCTAAACTTATCTAACAAGTAACTTCTAGTTAAAGAAAACGATGAAGTATTGATTGATGATTCTCTGTATAAGTTCTTCGATGACTCCTAGTGCCATCAATAATAGTCAATTACATTTCGATATATTTAAAACGATCGTAGTGGATTACCTTGTTCATTTTTATTACAATGACAAACAAAAAGGAGTATTCTTTTGATTTACGACAAATTGTTATGAAACATTTTTTTAACGGTGGTTCCAAGTACAAAATAGCTAAAAAAGTGATAAATCCCCGAAATTCAGTCCATTACATAATTACGAAGTACAAAATAAAAGTTACAGGAAATATTATTGGCCGAAATCGAAAACGTAACACCTCAGTGCATCTTGATCAAGTAATTGAGTGAAAAGTAGAATTCGATCGGCAAAACTCGGCACTATTTGTACAAGCTGACATTGAAACCGAGCTAGGAGTAATAATTTCTGAGCAAACTGTATACTGTCGACTACATAAGGCGACTTTAAGGGTCGTGTAGCTAGAAAAATACCATAAACTGATAAAGCCAATCATGCTGAAATGTATCATGAAAAGCTTCTAGACTAGTGGGATCAAGTTTTATGGTCTGATGAAAATATATTTAAGTTGTTTATGTCTGCCGGAAAGTATCGCGTGGCAAACACCGAAGGAAGAACTCAATTCCAAATATACCATTCTAACAGTTAAATACAGTGGAGGAAATATGATTTTCTCAGGCAGTTTTTGATCGTTTCGTGTGAGGAATCTCATCTTCATAAATGGAGACACTGCAAGTGAAATTGACCATGATATGTTTCAAAACAATTTGTTTGAGTTTGTTAAAAAAATGAATTCGTAGAGAAGGTGAGTCATGGAATATAATAATGATTCAAAGCATCTGGTAGAAATAATGACCAATTGTTTGTATAAGAAAAGGGAGTGAATTATTTAAATAGTCGCGATTGTTTCCAAATCTTTAACCACTTCAATTGTGTTATTCACCAACATGAACAGAAAAAATCATCGTTATTAAAAACAATCAGTCAGAGTAGATCACCTAGTCATAAACATCTCTCTATATTATAGAAATGACCGGAACCAATAGACATTTTAGATACTTTTCTTGTTTTATGGCTTCATGTAAGATTGAACTTCTAACATATCCTAGAGAATGATATTTCTTTGGTAGATACAAGTAAAAAATAAAATCACACACACAGATTATATTGTGATATTTGCATTGTTTTAGTGTTGCACTTTAACAATGAGATATAAACTGTCTTATGTATCGTTTTATGGATTCATTCTTTATCATGTACTTTTCTAGTTTGATTTGGTCTCTTTTTATTCCAGCTGTATTTTGTTCACATTGTTCCGATTTCAATATACGAGGAATAACTGCACATAGGTGGGAAGTTATTCGAGATGTATTCTGTGACAATTTTATACAAGAAAGAGATGTAGGTGCATCAGTTGCCATTTATCATCAAGGTGAATTGGTTGTTGATTTGTGGGGTGGATGGTTTGATCGATCGCGAAATAAATTTTACGACGATGATACACTACAGCTTGTCTTCTCAACGACAAAAGGTCTAGTAGCAGCAGCTGTTGCTCTTTACGTGCAACAAGGTCTATTGGATTATTCAGCATTGGTTACAAAAATATTGGCCAGAATATGGACAAAACGGAAAAGAAAATACTACCATGGCGGATATTCTTTCTCATCGTGCTGGATTACCTGACGATGGATCCCCCATTGAACAATATTTGAACTGGGCAGCAATGATTCATACATTAGAACAACAGGCACCGTTATGGCCTCCAGGAACAGCTCATCGTTATCATCCTTTCACCTATGGTTGACTGGCTGGAGAACTTGTGCGACGTGTCGATTCCAAGAGAAGAACTCTTGGACAAATTATTAAAGATGAAATAGCAAATAAATTAGGCATTGAATTTTATGTTGGACTACCATCAAATCAACAACATCGTGTATCATCACATGTTCTCGATTTAAATGTACAAATGACATTGGATGAGTTAATCCTGATACCATTTCACTTTTTCAACGAACATCGGGCACATCGAGCAGAAATGCCAGCTGTAAATGGAATCGCCAATGCTCGGTCCATTGCAAGACTCTATGCATCACTCATTGGGGATACCAATGACAGAAAATATAAACGATTGATCGAAAAAAAGTTTATGGATCAAGCAACGAAATCGAATACACCGCAGCATGAACTTGATTACCATGAGCTTGCCACTCCATTTGGCATGGGCTTCATGCTTTACGATAAATTTCTTACATCGCTTGCTCCAGGAACATTTGGTCATTACGGTAATTTGAATGTTTAATGCGATCGGATTATTCCCTTTTCTATTGTAGGTGCTGGTGGTAGTATTGGTTTTGCTGCTCCTTCAAAAAATCTTTCTTTCGCCTATGTTATGAATGAATTTAATGCAGAATCAACAGGTGTTACTGATCCTCGAATAGAAACAATCTTGGAAAAAGTCGCAAAAATAATCAATGATAGTGATTAAGATTATTTTATCTGAGACAGATTGCTTTTCATTATCAGAATGACTTCACCCAAAGAAACTGATTAAAAAATAAACATTTTTTTCAATAAATCTTGAAAAAAGATACTTTTATGTGCAGTGTTGTTAACTTGAATATGATATGAATCAATGTATTTTAACAAAATAGTGAAAAGCAAAGTTATCTTTCGGTGACCGCTCACTTCGTCACAGAAAAATTCTTGTCGTTGTGTTGTCACTATCTATTTGTCGCATCTCTCCTTATGAATTGTTCTTTTAACAGAATGAGGAACAGATTTAGAAAGAAAACAATCTAAAGAAAAAAAATAGCCTAAAGAGTAATGTTGGCTGCTATATTTTTTAAGAATTGATCTAGTTGAGATGAGTCGCGGGCGTTGATCGGTCGAATTTTAATATCAATTTTAATTAGATAATTGGAAAACGATCGTGTTTTGGAGCATGGGAGTGTGACGTTGGTGGTGAGAGAATTATCTTTAGGGATGAATTGGCATAACAGCAAGCTTTATTGATAAATGATTTTTATTTCAATTAATTGATTGATGTTCAAAGCGATCTTAGCTTTACAATCTCAATTCTCAGATCGAAAAATAAATATAATCGTTATAGTACGTTTTTCAGTATAGATGTAACCTTCTTGGAGCATCATTGCTTTTTCTTTTATAGAAAACAGTTTTTCTATTTGAGGTATTTTGCTGGAAAAGTAGTGCGCAGTGAAAGTTGAAATTGAGAAGTGACATACATTTCTTTTATTTGACTTGGTTCCATAATAAAGAATGTCGGGTCAGTGTTATATTTAGTTTAGATTACGGTGAAATTCATGAAGCGACCGACAAATCTAATTAGTCTTCACTGAGTCTAGCACTATCACAATTACATTTGAATAATATTTTTTATTGATCCTTTTACCCAATTAATATTATATGTCTTAGCACAATTACTTATTTATCGCTATTGTACATATCTCTTGCAATTTTTCATTTATTTTATGTTATTTCCATTGGTTATACACAAAACAATAATTCATTAAGAGAGATACGACAAATACTTAGGGACAACAGAACGAAAAGAGTGTTTCTTCGACGAAGTGTACTAGTGCAAAAGGCATGCATAAAACAGCACTGAGACTTTATTTGAGCATCGTCTACTAACAACATATTTTACAGTAGCTTTGTTTCAGTTGAATTCCAGTGATCCAGAATTAAAATGACTTCACTCTTGTCTAATGAGCCTACTCGTGAAGATAGAAAAAAAAATATTGTGATAGCAGGACAGCTACACCCTCTCTTTATGGCTTCTATTTTTTTTGTTTTCTTTTTATTGCATGTTGTTTTGGTGTCGATTTCTCCGCCTTTTTATTTCAAATATTTCTTATATTCATCTTAATTCAGTTTATCATTAGTAATCCATCATGGTCAATAGTTTCATGCGACTAAACAATCATTCACTAGAACTAGAATATAATTCGGACCATCATAAGTCAATAAAAGGAAGCATTATAAATATTATAAAAGAAAGAAATATCAATATCATCACAGAAGATTAACAAAAGCGTGAATATTTACTTAAATTTGAAAAATAATCTTCGTTCAATTTCATTAGCAAAAACAGCAAGAAAATAATCAAACAGTAATTAGTTTTCAGAAAAAGAGAAATAGAAAGATGACAACACAATTCATTCCCAATTTCTCACATCTACTATACATGAAATTCATGAAGAGAAGATTAGAAAAACATAAAAGAAAAATGAATTTAGTGTTTATTGTATTTGTTCGTGTTTGTGTATATAATCCGGCAAGAAAATACGTTCAGTATATTATTTCTCAAAAGTATTCATATCGAAGATAGAAAATGTGTCGTTTACAAGTCGGGTGTTTATTGCTCGTACTTCTTGTTTTTCAAGGGATATCTCATTCGTTCTAAAAAATAATCTCATAGTTTAGAAGACTAAAACATCAACAATGAAACGAATTCGCAAGCAATATAATATTGAAAAAAAACTACTTAGGCTTCTTTATTCTTTCGAATTTATTTTTGCTTCTGCACAACTTATTCAAAAATGAATATATTGAAATTTTCAGATGAATACATGAGTTGCAAACATCTACTCATTCAATAACTTTGTTTGATTAGTAATCATTCTCTATTGTAGATTTCTCTCCTTCATTTTTTACAAATCCCATTTCAATACGAATCCATAGAAAGATTTGTTCTTTCCGTGCATATTAATAAAAATCAACTGAAGAACAAAAATAAAATAGTCTCTCACTTTAAATGTGGTTCATTCCGGGACAAAATCTGCAGAAATTTTAGTGGATCATACATCTACCCAGGTGAAAAAATCAGACGGTATTCTTGTAAGATCAAATGAAATCATACAAAAAATCGTAAAGTCAGATCATCGTATCCATTTGTATAAGATCTTATCAGGACATAAGATTCTTGTAAGATCTGATAAGAATCTTACAGAAATCTTACAGTACGAATTGATACAATGATCTGGCTTTACGATTCCTTGTATGCTTTCATCTGCTCTTATACGATCATACCGGATCAGAGGTATGATCATACAAGATCTTACTATCTGATTGTTTGACCTGGGTAGAGAGGCTCCTCTCAAGTTTTTCATCGGTTTACAACATTAATCATACCGATATCAATGAGCAACATCCTGTTGCTAAAGCCATTCGTACTGATGCCTTCTTAAATAGTCATATTCCGTATTGGTAGCAAGACCCTCGAGTGATTATCTACTAAACTAATTACCGCAGAATAATGGATTTATATGTTGCTGCAATTATGAATAATCTAGTTTTTGTATTTGTTTTTTCAGATTTAAAACTTGATTTTTAATTCCTACGTATACTACCAAGAATCAGTATCTAACAATGAAGAACAAGCAATGGAGTGTCTGGGAACCGACTCAAATTCAAACGGAAAAAAATCTAGGTAAAAAACAAGTACAACCTGCAAATGGAAGTACACTGGTTTCAAATGTTCAGAACGCGTTAGTAATCGTCTTTAACGTGTTCGTTTTCTAGTATAGCATAGATTTACTTGAAGGTTGTGGCTGAAACCTGTAATAACTGGTCTTGCAATTGGAGTTTTAGTTGGTGGTTTAGTATTGGCTACAGTTACGGCATCATATTTGGCCAATTCAGGTCAGATATATATATAGAGATCGAATAACAAACGAAAACAAGAGCGATTCGGAAGATCCATATTCTACTTATATTAAAATTATTCTGAGAGAAGTAGAACACAAAATTGTTCTGTCAAAAGGACTAAATATAAATACTGATAATCAATTTGAACAAATCAAATTAGCATAAAGATAATCGAAAGAGGATTGACAAAGAAGTTTTATGTAGCATTTTCGATATGTAATTTTGACTGAGAGCAATTGTTAGCATCATTAAATTTTGAACAAATGTTATTGTTCACAACATATTTTGTGCTATTAGTTCAGACATCAAAATCATATCTGACAAAAGTATTCTGTAGCGGCGTGTTAAGAGAGAAAGATATGCTTGATAGGTGATTTGACTTATTCCATCGATACTGTAGTGTTCTTTTCTCATACCACTAGACTTCTGTCTCTGACTTTTTTAGCTTCAACGTCGACTACTGTAACAACACCAAGTAAATATGCATGATCATCTCTCAGTATCTTACCTAATCTATTTAACTTTTCTTCAGCAACAACTACAGCAACTACCACAAGTACTTCTACAACTACGTCGACAAGTACTACCACAAGTACTTCTACAACTACATCGACAAGTACTACCACAAGCACCTCGACAACAACTACGACAAGTACTTCGACTACGAGTACCACAACAAGTACTTCGACAACGAGTAGTAAGTAATTTTACTGTTTGTAAATACACTTGGATCTATAGAAAAAGTTCAACATTCATCGATCCGTTTTTCAATATACGAGGAAAATATGTCGATCATGAAACAAAACAAAGTTGTTAAAATTGAATTGTTGCTTTAAGAAATATAAAAGCACGCCTAGAAAGCATAGAAAGGTACAATACGAACAAATCTTAAACACACTAATATCTATAATTGTACTGCTAACGAAAATGATTTTCTTCATTGACTTTCTACTTTCTTTTAGCGTCAACTTCAACAACATCAACTACGAGTAGTAAGTGTTGCTTGATGAGTGAAGATTTATCTTCTTGTATTGTTTATCTTTAGCCACTTCGACAACAACTACTTCCACAAGTAAGAATTTAGCTTTGACGAAGGGTGTTTTTAGAAATTCAGATATTTGCTAAATAAAATGTTTTCTAGAAATGATTTATTGAAAAGAGGAAGTGTAGTATTAACTGAATCAATGAGTTACCCTTTTTATGTATAAAAAATTTTAAGAGGAAATAGATGAATTTCAGAATAAAGATAAAATCTTCTATCGACTTCTGGTTCTCTTTGTTACAGTCTTTCTTGTGAAAAAAGAATCCTTAGCAGTTCAATCAAAAACTATAAGTGGAAAAAAACAGTGAATGTTTTTTTATTATTGAAAATATCCTATTTATTTGATTCTGATAAGGCCTTTTGTCATTCAAAGCTATTATTTGTCTTAAAAAATGAACTGATCTTCTGAGTGATTCTCTTTTTTGTGTGGAATTCTTCGAGGAATATTTATAGTTGTGAAAAACGATTAGCAAAAAGTATACATATTAACGAGGCGTCTCTCCTACGTGTACTGCGCAAATGGATAATGCATACATTGATCTATATTTCGTAGATCTTACTATGAAAATACTTTTGAATGAATGAGAAACATCGAATATCACTCTATTGACTAGTGCAATAGTTTGACTGTATGAAAGAACACTCGAGTGGTGAGTGTCAGCTGAAAAAATTGAACGAGAATAGAACGTAAGATAGCGCCGAACGAACGAAAGAAACAAACAAATAAGAGAAGAAGTTTGATAACAGTAGAAGATAGAAAGGTGCCTATATCAATGAACCATTCAGATGATGCCTGAAGAGGAAGACAGATCCAATTTCATCATAGAAATACACTCTAAATAAAAATCGTTTTCTTGGAAATCGACAAAAAGGTTTCCGGACTTTTTTATGCCCGAAAGAGTTTCAGGACTCATCTTGGGAATCTTTAAAAGATTTTGGAGAGCAAAAAGGATTTACGGACTTCGGAAACCTTTAAAGCATTTCATATAGTGACAAACTCGGAAACGCTTCACGGTTTTCGGAATGAGCCTGGAAACCTAATTGGGTTTTCGAACGCTCGGCAACCTAATTTCGGGGTTCCCGGAAAAACGATTTTTATTTAGAGTGTACAAAATACAAAATACGATATAAATTTTGTTTCTTACCATTCAGATATCTACACGTTACTATATCTTTTCATTTAGCTTCAACGACAACAACAACTACTACCAGTGAGAGATTGATATTGATTGCTGTCCAATGATGAGCATAAATTCATTGCATCTTTTTGTTTTAGCGCTTTTATGTTCAGCCTCTGCTACATCAACACATGCTCCCGGCGGCCAAGGAGGTGAATCTGTCCTGTATACATTTGACAACACTCCCAACGATTATTACGGCAATTACAATGCTGTTGCATTCAATAGTCCACAATATATCTCACCGGGATACAATGGCCGTGGATATGCGATTCAACTCCTTTCATATAGTTCACAGTATCTGACAGTTGCAAATTATATGAATTTCTATCAGACTAGTCTCACTGTCGAAGCGTGGATTTATCCCCTGGCAGTTTATACTGGCACTCCGTACAGTGATATGATCATCTACGCTCAAACAAATTCTTCAGCAAGTAATCAGTACATGTGGATGATGTTGAGAAATGGAAAAAACTACGGTGCATTCTTTGCCAATGATGTGACTGGACCAACTATGTTTCAAGTGAATCAATGGCAACACATGGCATTTACGTATGATTATGCGGCGGGCACGCAAGTTGTTTATGTTAACGGGGTTGTGGGTAAGATATTAGTAGAACTCTGTTTAAACTTCAGAGAAAATATGAAAAATAAGGTTTCAGTATACATATTTCAGTGATAGATAATAAACTTAACTGACTTGCTGTAAGACAGAGTTTGTTTAGGTTTCTTTTTTTGATAGACGCCACACATACAAATTCAAGTCCTTGTTTGATTACAGCTGGAATACAAACAATCGGTGCATATCCATCTTTCACATCTGGCTTTTTTAATGGCTATATCGATCAGCTCGAAATCTTATTCGGACAAGCAAAGACAGCAGCTGAAATTTTAGACGATGCAACCTTAGTTGGATACTATTCTATGGATTGTCTAAGTTATTCCAGTTGGGATAGTGGTCCTAATCAAATTCAGGGTGTGACATTTGGATTGAGCAGTGGCGATGGTGGACGAGTTGGACAGTCCTATTTATTTAATACAAGTTCAAGTTATTTCCAAGTAACAGGACTCGTTTTAATAGGACAATCATATAATCCATTTTCATTTGCAATGTGGTTAAGACCAATAATATCAGTTACAAATGGTGGTACTATTCTACACATCTCTCAGTATCCTGATGGTACTGGTTGGTGTGTTCAATTCATAGGGTTAAACTCACTGGGACAGATACTCGTGAGTGGATACAGTGCAACTGGTATCGTTCAAGTCACTGGACCTGTTCTTATAGTTGACCAGTGGATTCATATTGTAGAAACTTTCAGTCAAGTTAACGGAATATGTCTATATATCAATGGAGTACTCTACGGACAAAGTAGTGCATTCGCCTATCCATCAAGTGGCGTACCAATGTCAGCCACTCTTGGACAGCCTTTAAATGGGTTCTACTGTGCTCATGGTGGAATTCAACCTGGTTTCTATCAGGGAAGTATCGATGAATTTCGTATTTATAGTAGAGAGTTATCTCAAGCAGACGTAATTACTTTGGCCAATCCTTAAACTTTGACTCTTTTTTTAAAGTTTTGCAAATCATAAAAGATATCATAATGTGTGTGTGTGTGTGTGTGTGTGTGTGGGCTTATTATTAAATAGTGTCTTCCTTTCAAAAGCAGAATAACGAAAACAATTGAAGGATGTGAGTATCAATTCAGAGGGAAACATCACCCATGCTCACACCCTACACCTACTACAGTTGACTTCAGTGGTGGTCCATGTTTTTTTTGCAATTGAACTTGAATGAATGGAAGTTTATCGCAATTTTACTAGGAACAAAAAGTTATGGAACCATTATGCTCCATTAACTGCAGCAGCAACGTATAATTCTGATTGTAAATTATTTGCAAATAAACAAGCACTTTAAAAGAATAAATGCTTGTATCGCATATATCCAGCTGTTGTTTAGTTGTCTTCCTATCTGTAATTGTTCTTCGCATTTTGTTCGGTGGGATGTCGATGTGCATCTCTAACACCCCATAATATCCACAGTGACAGCCAAACCCAATAAATATCGACAATCAATGATTATAGTCTTCTCCTGTAACGGAACGAAATTTAAAATTTTCATAATAATCTAATTTGATTGCGCCGAAAGTGACGGCGTGGGTGTGGTTTTGGGTCTTCCGTGTACTCACATCCACATTCATACGTTTAGCAATGTGATTAATTCAGGAACTGAATGTTTCAGGTAAAAATTGGAAAAAGACAGATTTCCTAAGTTGCGTGTAACACTAGTGTTAATTAATGGCGATATCTAAAGACGAAAAGATAAATATTTTTCGTAATGAAACATATAATTTTGTGTAGAATACGACGGGGAATCTTTTGATAAAAAAATAATCCAACAGTGATTAGATAACGGCTAGGGTTGTCACATTTTAATTTAAAAAAAAAATATTAAATCGAGAAATAAATTTTCAGAAATTTAAATTTAAATAAAATTGTTTGAAACTCAAATTTGGTTAAATTTTAAAAATTAGCAGATAAACATAACTTTTGACTTGGTTGCTATTATTTAAAGTCAAATTTGGGTATGTTTCTTGTTTTCTAAAGTTAAAGCTAATCATTCTTCTACGTTGTGTGCTATTAAATATATTTTTATGAGTATCCCGGTATTTCGAAGAAGAAATATGACAGATTCTGCATAATCTGTAGATAAATGTTGGCTATTATGAACAAATATTAACCTAAACTACTAGGTTCTCCTCTCATTTAGTATTCACTAGTGTTAAAGTCACACATTTTCCTCATAGCAATGATGTGCATCCATCCAAAAAATTTATTAACTTTAAATTATATTAACTTGTCGCGAAGTTAAATTAAAATAAAATAAACTGTAAACTGACACCTCTAAATAACGGCTGAGATGTTAACAAAATACAGAGATCACCATCTTCTTTTTCTTTTTTTTACTATACTCGTGGATGTTACACTTGGAAGTGCTTACATAAAAAAAAAGAAATATAGATGTATAAGCGAAAAGCTGCATCACTAAAGCAAAGCGTTACAATTTGTGCCAACGATATATTATGCTGCGTACAAATTTTTGCTTGGAGGGATATTTAGAGAGTAGATAAATGAAAACTCGAATAAAAAAGTGTAAAAAAGAAGAGAGAGGAGTACTGATGGTAAATGGCAGCGGGGATACGTGAGTATAGCGAATAGCTAGAAAAAAGAAGAACAAACTAAAAGCAACGAACGAAAGAGAAAGATAAAATTAAAGAAGAGAGAATGAGAACAGAACCGAGAGTAAACGACTAAAAAGATGAAGAGAAAAAAACAAAAAAGAAGAAAATTGCGTAAAGCATTACATTTATGCCTCTTTCTATGATTTTAATTCGTATCAACAAAGTATCGCCACTTTAAAAGGAACGACTCGTGTCGATCTTCCAATTATCGCACACGATGTGTGCCAAAAAAAGTGACCAACTCCACCATCTATTATGGACCATCCACTAGGGGTGGACCGTTGATCTTAATTTGAGTTAATTAAGAGAGTTAATTAAGTGGTTTTGCTTAACACTTAATATTAAGTAATTTTAATTACTTAATATTAAGTGTTAATGCAATACTTAATTTTTAATATTAAGTATTCCTTTAACATTTAATATTAAGTAATTAAGTGGGTAATCTACACATTTTTTTCTTAATATTAAGCGCTCTAGAAATACTTAATTTTTAAAATTAAGTGTTTCGTTAACACTTAATATTAAAAATTAAGTATTGCGTTAACGCTTAATATTAAGTAATTAAGTCGCTAATGTAAACTTTTTTTTTCTTAATATTAAGTGTTAAGTTAAAACCTAACACTTAATATTAAATTAACGTAAAGAGCCACCCCTACCATCCACAACGATTAATTTGTTTCATTCAAAGATGGATTCAGAAAAGTCGTCAACCGAACAAGGGTGTATAAGATGGAGGTGGAAATCAAAGGACAATGCATCCGGTGTTGAGAAAGACTACAGATGGAAACAACATAATGATATCGAAAATCGAATGATTGAACATGCATATCAACAAGGCAACGATCAAGTCGAATTATATGATTTTACGATTGATTTCAGGAGTGAAATTCAAATTAGTAAACGAGATTCACAAGAACAATATGAGATAAAACGACAGATAGGCTTATCAGATATCAGTGATCGTGTTAGAGTCGATCGTTTTGTTGTTGAAGAAGCACAATGCATTGAGAAATCATTCTATTCGTTGCCAAAATCCTTCATGAATGCAATTCTGTTCTATGAAGGACAAGTTGGTCCCGAAAGAGTATTGGACGCTATAACTGGTATTCGAAAAGTAGGTGCTCTGTTGGGTAAAGCAAAGCAAGCGGAATGTCTTGCCAATGATTTTCAAGAAACCTATGGAATATACTGGGGTCGAGAGGATGAAATTATGGATCAGGTCATTCGTTTATATACCATGGACAATTTTTTGTACAAATTTATCAATTATTTTATGAGAACTGCAGATATTACGACTGGTGCATTTGAGAATGAGCGGGACAAAATGTATGGACAGCTATTAGGACCATATTATAGTCTATTGCAAGAAAGTTTTCACAGACGACGGTCTGAAGTTGATATTCTACTATATCGTAGCGCCAATTTAACCGATGACATGATCGAGGAGTACAAGCAATATGTTGGCGAAGATATAACATGGATTTCATTTTCCAGTAGTTCGAAAAATAAAGCAGTAGCCTTATTGTATGATGGTAACACTTTGTTTCAAATTTATGTACCAAAACAGCCCGATACGCGGAATGCTGATGTCTCTTCATTATCACAATTTCCTGAAGAAGAAGAAGTTGTATTTGATCATCAAACTTTCTTCACTGTCAAGAAAGTAGACTATGATCAAACATTACGAAAACATATTATTCACTTGAACATCACCGATTACGGCGCTCGTTATCGTAAATAAAATCACATGATTGTATTTTTATTCCATTCATTTCATTGAGAATAGTTTGGTGATTAAGGGAAGTTCCCGACGTTCACTCTCAGTTTCCGTCTACCAAATTCAAAGTGCTCATTGGCACAAATCCATGTTATGAGCTAATTCAATGAAGTTGAGTCTAGTAGTGATTTTCTCGTCTCCGTTCTAATTTTTTAATACTTAAGGAATCAAATCATTCCTGTGGTGACAACTCAACGACATAGTCAACCATTATTCCTTTCATTCGACAATCCCACGTGATTCAAACCGGTATCACATCGGTGGTATACCGACGATAGTCTCATGTTTTCACGGTATTATTATGGTTCACACGTACTCATTTGCAGTCTTGTGATTTTATAGACATAAATGTAAATTGACTTAAGCAAGAGATTAATTCAGTCATTTTTCGAATGAAAGATGTTATATTTTTAAGCTGCTTTTGACTGCCATATGATCACTTATGAGAAAAATACAATAGAAAATATTCATACTTTTTTCAGGAATGACGAGATATCATCCAACAACAACTCAAGCTTTATAAATATACAAAATAAAAGGATTTTTTTCTACGAAATAAATTACTTAATCAATTTACTCCGTAGATGAAATTACATTTATTTCTTAAAATCATTAGAATACGCATAGTCGATATCAATGCTAGGGCGTGGGTGTGATCCGAATATTTGTAGTAACACTCACCCCCACCCCCACCCAGATATGATTCCGAACACTTTTCAGTTGAAACTGACTCGATGTAGAAGTGTAATCATCCATATCGACGAAAATTTCTATAAAACTAACAGTTCACTTAAGTTCTGACTTATGACTATGGAGATAGGTCAGTTTTTCTGAATGGCTCTCATTCGCATGGGTAGGCAGGTAGATGAATGTCCATTGGATGATACATACGTATCTAGTTTTTATCACGTCTAATTCATTTCATATCCTCGAAGCACGTGCCATGGAGAAAGAATGGTGAGCAAATTTTTGTTTTTGCAAGATAAATGCTTCCTATTGCTCTAGCTATTCATATGTGAGATTATTATTATTTGTAGTAGTAGTCGCGAAAGATTATAACCTTTTTCAATCTCCATTAATTATTGAGAAAAGTTCGAATAGTAAAATGAAAAAATAAAATCGGTTGCCATTTTCGAGAGTACAATTGAGAATTGCATAACAATGCAGTAATATAAGATAAGAATGAAATTAATTCTATTATACCCTTTTTGTTGTGGTTTTTAACTCGGTTTCGTTCCTCCCCTCCAACATGCTGCTTCTCTTATTTCACGCAATATAGAGTTACGGTGAAAAAAGTGGACTGATAACAACTTCTGACACATACATATTTTCTTTGTTATCCTTCTAGATTGTATAACAATAGCAATCTTTACATTTTCACATTAGTCATCTACCACGATTCATCTGTTCTATTTCTTGATTTTCTTCGACTGTAAGTACCTCATCTGCAATTCATCTCTTTAGCTCTTAGTCAGTTTTTAGAACGCTCAAAGAGATGTAACTAATCCACAAGTTAGGGGAAATTTTCTAGAGAGCTAAAAAACAGTTTCTCCCTTTGTTGTGCTCACTATTGATCTTAGCGGCTCTTAATTAAAGACTGTCTATTGTTGTTCCTTCGTATTATCCGCTTTGCACATGGCTCAAAGTGTTCATTGTACGTGCGATTGATAGAAACGTTTCGTTCTTTAAGCGTATGGATGATTGAGACAATGAATAGCTAAAAACAGATGAAGCTGCGATTGTAGAAAGAAGGTTTGTGTAAGCGACTGATCTTGAATAGTTATATAATATAAACAATGAACAAACTAATCAAAATGGTGATACCTGTCAAAAAGCAAAAGTCTTCCGAAGTCGTGAAACACCTTTCTAGAGCATATTTTGATCGTTTTTTTTTAAAGAAAGCATGGCTATGGCTCGAAGAATTCGGATAAAATAAGGAACAAGGAAAATCTAATTAATCAAATTTGATCCAATTAAGAAAAACTTCAAAGCAGCGTTTTGGTATTGCAGGATCGCCTTGTGTCGATCTTCAGCCTTTTGTTGATTCAACCAAAGGTTAAGAAAAATTTTATCTAAACTATTTATAGATTTATAGAGCGAAAAATCTTTATGAATTGAATATAAAATGAGTACTGCAAACGACTCAAAGGGAATTAAAAACAAAATAAAAAAATATGATCGGTTGTATCTAACTCATCGGTGGGGCTCTTGAGAAATGGGTGATAATAATTAAAGAAATTTAGTGAATAATCATTATAATCTTGCCGAAGTCGAAGTCAAATATACGAAATTCAACACAGTTTTTTTGCTGTCCAAATCATCTTCCCACTCTATCTTTGCAGGTTTCTACTAGCAATAAAAGATTCTTCCGTGTTATCATCACTTTGTGACCTTTTTGAAGCATTGGAATCTTGCCATCAGTGTTGAAGATATGATTACATTTTGAATAGTTCTTTTTCTTCTTCCTCAATTAAAATCATTATCAACCTATTATTTGAATGAAAAATTCTTGAAGGTGACGGTATATGATATCCATTTTTTAAATCCTCTTATAGCTATCTACGACCCACATCTATTTACTCATCTAGCTGTACGACGAGCGAATGTTGTTCAGCCCCCATCGAAACTTGTCTATTATCAACTCAAAGCAACGGATTCTTGGATCTGCAGAGAACGCACTGATTAGAACTTCGTTGCAGCACAGTGGCTATATGAAAGTTGGCGTACTTCTTCACTTGCAAGGACCCTATATTTCTTTGGAAGCATTAACCATAGCGGTGAATCATCTTCAATGTCGTCATCCTTTTCTTCGAAGCCGTCTACAAAACAATCCTACTAAGCCTGGCAACTATTTAATGGAAGAAGACAATGCACTTCGTCTTAAGATTCGAGAGATACCACGAAAACGTAACGATCATCTCCACTTCTGGCGTCAGGAATGGCGAGAACGAGAGAAGGAGTCAGCAATCATCGGGCAGGGACTTGTCGAATTCTGGCTTCTGCAGGTATAGAATAGGTGCACTATTGACTTTCAAATCCGTCCTTTGTAGGATCCTGAGGATAGTGCCACTGCAAATGCTCCGAGAGAACTGATACTCATATGCGAGCATTGCGTGTGTGATGGATTGTCTCTGAGTACGGTAGCTCATGAACTTCTCATGACTTTAAGCAAGGGCGATCAACATATACTTTGCAATGCATTGGAATGGCCAATAACCATGGAAGCAGCTATCCAAAGAAGTCTTTCAACATGGGGCAGGCTAGTCACCTTTGGCAAATTCATTCTGGCAGCCATGTATTGGCGCGTGACAAGAACACAGACCATTGCAAGGATACCATTGGCTCAAGTCGATTTTTCATTGATTGAGATGGTTAAGTACTGTCACACTGAAGTCTCCTATGGCACGTTGTGCAAGGAAGAAACCCAAAAACTCGTTGACAAATGTCATCGCGAGAGAGTAACGGTGACATCAGCTGTCAGCAGTGCGATTCTATGCGCTAGTTCGACGTTAGTGAACGTTGACGACGCTGAAGCGACCCAATTGGTCGTTGCAATTGCAGCCGATACGCGCAGACGATGTGTACCAACAATTCCTAATCATGACCTTAGTTATCACGTATCAGGAACCATGGCATTCACAATTCCTACGAGAGATACGCCAACGACGTTCTTAGGAATGTGGCAGCTGGCGAGTGCGTTCGGTCACCACGTGAAAACTTCAATTGACGCTGGCCAAACTCTTGCTCTCGGTATGATCATGGGAAAGATATACGAAAAGAACCTTGATCCGCCCAATCTTGCACAAGTTCCAACCTTTGGCATTTCGAACTGGGGTGTTTTACCCTACTGTAAACAATATGGAAACTGGGAGTTGATAGCGACGATTCCGTTCGGTAACTTGATTCGAGCGCCCATGCCATTTGCTTTGATTCAAACTGTCAATGGCGTATTGACAGTGGTGTTTGTTGGATCGGTCCCCATATTTCCACTAGATAACCTAGAGAATTTACGCAATGGAACTTTGGAAAAATTGCGCCTAATGATAGAAAACTAAAACAGTGTATACTAGAATCAAAAAAATTCTATTTGAGGGTGTAGGCGTGGGTATCTGTGAAAAGAATACGCACACTCACATCCTTCATCCATACTATGTAAAAGAAATCTCTACTTTGTTTCAAGTATAAGAATAAAATATGGGAAGATTTGATTGTTTTTTTCGAAAAAAATCTGTAAAATTATGCAGTGCTAAAACTACCTGATGAATTGACTCTTGAGAAAAATCGAGACTTTAGTCATGGTTCTGGATTAAACACAAGATACACTCACACAATAACTTTTATTGAATTTTAAAAATGTTTATGACTGACGCACAATAAAAAATAGAAAGCTAAATTTACTCTTCAACAACTAAATCCAATAGATTCACATCGTATAATCCTCTCAATTCAGACCATATCTGTTGTGCACATTCGTAGATCATACTCTTTCGCTTCAAGCGTTCTAGACGTTGTATTTCTGCTAGAGCATGTTTTATTTCCAAGTATTTCCCATCATAATGAGTTATTCGTTTTGGCAAGTGATGACGCGGCCCAAAGCTTCGTATAATTTCATACTGTGCTGGATAGTTCTCTCTAATCCACTCTTCAAGATGAGATAAATCTTCAGATATTGAAAAGAAATAGTAATTTGCTTTAGTGACAAGAAAACCAGGAGCATTGGATTGAACTCGGTATTTCTGAATTATATGAAAAATACGTCTGCCAAGTTGTTGCGTATATTTGTCAACTGAATCTGGTGCTATAAATAGCCATTGAATGCTATTCGATTGACTAGCCCGAATTTTTGGTACCATAAAGTATAGAAATCTATCATTCCAAACCCAATAGTCTGAAATGAGTATACCGGACTGATCAATATCGTAATCTAACCATTTGGTATTGATATTGATTGGTGTAATATATTTAATGAGATTATTATAATGGCAATTAAGACGAAAGAATGAATAATACCAGTCGTAATGGGATAGATATTTCAAAATCATAAGCTGAATTTCATCAGGAAGCTCTTCCAATGTTAATCGATGAGAGGACATCTAGAATGTGCACAAAAAAGCAAATGAATGAAAACTAGCACAAGTCCTGATGTATCTTTGGACATAAATGTAAAACGATATCATTATATATACTTTTTTTAATTCTGCTGTGAGCATATGCATTTTCTGTTATTTCGCTTTAAATACTACGATTGTGCAATACCCCAGCGTAATATTTCATGAAAGATATCTGTATTGAAGAGTCAGAAAAAAAAGATAAGAATATTTGAGGCCAGGAAACAAAGAGATCACTTTAAAAAAAACAGATCGAATAATCACCGGTTACCATTAATATAGTTATCCATACACTATCTGAAGGGTTTATAAGTAGAAGGCTTTGGATTCTATATTTTGATTCAAAGGATTTGCTATTAAACGAGTAGTTGTAGATTAATAAATGAGGTTGTACAAGGATCTTGCTGCAAGTAGAATATTATTTACGCATACATATTATTTTTCCTCAGTAATTGTTCTATTTTGTGTTGAGATAAATAAACAAAACTTTAAAAACTGATGCGTACAAGATTTTCCCTTGATCAATTGACTGATATCAACGTTACTTTATAGTAATGGATACGAAGATTTGTACCATGATCAGTTCTAGTTCCTTTATTTTTTTTCTGAATTTATATACGCTTAATTAATTGTTCATTAATTTTCTATTTATCTTACGAAACATAATTAGTCAAATTGAGGCTACAACATTTTTTCTTTTGATCTAATGGTTTACATCTTTGTTCATTAGTGCAATCTAGCCATAGGTAAGTATTTGTGCCATTTTCAATGCGATTCTCCTACATCCAGGAAATCCATCGCTAAAATCCTCTGGATCTAAATATGATCGGTTTTTAATAAGTCATTTCTTTTTATTTAGATGACCAATGTTAAACATTTCAAAGCAATATCAGAAGCATTGTTTATTACCCTATCAATCCGTCTAGGTTGATCCTGGTTTCTTCTACATATTGATAGAAAAGTATCATAGTGAAAATTCGTTGTTATCTTTAATTTTATAAAAACTCATCTTCAACATACTGCGAAATAATCACAAAAGATTATTGAAATTGAAAAATGTCAGCATAGACTAGATAACAACCAAACAATGTATTAATTTGAGTATTCTGGCATGCGTATTGATTCTACTTTTGACAAAATGCCATTTTTACTTTACATAATCTTGCAGGATTTCATTTTAAGTTTATTGTATTGTCTAGCTAATCATTTCGTATGACAATATGAATTTGTTGATAACTTTTTTTAAATTATTTCTCTTGTTTATGAATGACCTTCAATCTAATAAATCAGAAAAAACAATGAACGACAAATTACTTCTGAAAGTAAGTGAGATGCAAACAGAATTGGCAATGATTCGTCAAGATATCCATGCTCATCCTGAAATTTCCATGGAAAAAGAACGTACATCAACTCTTGTCGCAATTAAACTCAAAGAATGGGGTCTAACTGTAACTGAAGGCATCGGTTGATTCGGTGTTGTTGGTACATTAAAACGTCTACAACCAGGTAATCATTCTATTGGTCTTCGAGCCGACATGGATGCTCTACAACTCATCGAGAAACGTAATTTATCGTATGTTTCAACCAAATATAGTACACTGCATGCGTGTGATCATGGTGGACACCCAGGCTAGGTTGCTTGGTGCTGCAAAGTATCTTGGGTGTGGATGTGGGTCAGGACGTCTAAAGTATGTCATCACTCTCCAACACTCACTCATATCCGTACCTACACCCAAGATGAGTATGTGTGGTATGAGTGTGCCACCATCTTATCCTAACGCACGCCCTCATCTTCACTTCCAGCTTCAGCTCGTACTGCACACACACAGATCTGCGCCAACACTCTCGCGCATCTTCAAATGCAATCCAGGCCTAAGTAGATAGGCTGTCTCTACATTGAAATGTAAGTTTTGTGATTCAACTCGATCAAGCTCATATCTCAAAGAGATATCTGATGAATACATCGTCTATTTTGTGTGCTACGTCACGTAGTAGAAATTTGCCAATATTTCAGCGAAAGCAATAATGAAGTAATTCGATGCATGGAAAAATGCATATCTTCGCTTTGTCCTTTCCCCATTCATCGAAATCATACAGCGATGTAAGAATGTTAACAAAGATAGAATAAGAATGAGATAAGAGGTTATGTTTCTCGTTCGGTTTCTCAGAAAAGAAAGCTTGACTTAGGCATAACAAATATATGACATTTTGACTTGTTAACGTTTCGTCATTAATCGCTACGAGAGGAGGCTTAGAAGAAACGAGACACCGACCTCTTTTCGATCACTTTTTTCTGCCTATTTTAGAATAAATACTCGGAATCACACAATCACCTCATCAAAGAAGTGTATATATCAACGCTGAATCGTTTCTAAACTATTCTGAAAGTAGTCCATGTTAAGTAGAGGACTTCAGTGGCGTGCAAGTAATTCTCAATTCAGTGCATAGAATGTTCGAAATATTTTCTCGCTAAGGCATAGTTAACTCAAATTTACTATGCATTTACTCATCATCATGGCTCAATAAGCATGTATGTGGTGACTGTTTAGCATGTGAGTAGATCAAGGTAAATTTTCGCTTCATAATGCATTGACCAAGCTATTTATTACCAATCATAAATAGGCTGAGCTGTTGCTGCTTTACTTGCAGAGTAGTGACCGGCTTCCAACAACGAACCGTGAAGACGAGAGTTTGTGTGGCTATACATGGACTCACTGTTCCATTCTAAAGCATTGCCAGGAAAGTAAGGTATCCTGTCTTGAACCGAGCACGGTATGCGTGTTGAACGGCTGATGAAGGATGTTACAGTCACTCTGGTATCCAGTGTCACCATGCAACTCTAAAGAGCATTGGGTGTAAACTAGACGCTTGTCATAGGATCTGTTAAACTATACTTACTTGTTTTACAGAATATTTCATGGACATATCAAAACAGTGACACAAAAGCTAAACAAATTCAGAGTATTCGTTGAATTCCGCTTCGTACCATTTGTAATATGAGTTGTTTTCTCATTGAAAACTCATTCGGGCAGTCACAGTCATTCGAAGCCCTTGTTGAATGTCCTACTAGTGTTTCAATATCTACGAGATTAAAACCCAATTTTGTTTCTCTTCCTTTATGCTTATATTGTAGAGGATCGTCTGTATATAATGAAGTTGATATAAGAGCTTCTCTTCAAGAACATGTCGATTCTAATGGAAGAAATTTTTGTCTTAATGAAATCAAGCGGCGCTAGTCGTTTAACTTGAACAGTTTTGCACAAAATATTTTTATGAAAATCCAAGTCTTTCAGGGAAAATATGAACGAACAAATAGAATATCTTATTCAAATGTTAACACCTTGAAAATCTTGCAGTGGCAACTTGTGAAACAAAAACTATGCTATTTTTGATGGACGATAAGTAATCGCTGTGCTTATCCATCTCAAGAGAAACATGTTGTCATCTGAAACATGTTTTTTTCTGTTTAGTGCCTTCAAAATTCAAAATTTCTTTGTGTTTGAAAAAACAATTCTTCAAATTTCTCTTCCGTTTTAGATTCACAACAAATCACCTTCCTTTTCAATATCTCTCTTTGTTTGTGTTGGTACGTACCGAAACAAAAGATTTTCTTTAAAATTTTCTAATGTTGAAGTGAATACTTTTGGTTTGTCTTTTTTGTAAGTATTAGCCATGAAAAAAATCTATGACTCCTTTCTTCATCGCTTTTTATCGAGCTAGTTTGACAGAAAAAAGAAAAAGACGCTAAAGCCGAGTTTTAATATTTTCGCACTCTCTAGTATATACATTTTCTCAAGTCGGGCAAAGATCTAATTATGAAGGAATGCCATTTTGTTTTCAGATGATATTTCTCGTTCTTGTTATTATCCTGTCGACAGCAGTATTAAGAACAGTTACCGGTGTGAACTGTTATGATTGCACTGATTATATTGCATGCGGGAGCAATGGTCAGGGCCCGACTGTTATCAATTGTCCTGTATGCATGGTCTATCGAAATCAGCATGATAACAGTAAGTACTTATCAAAGAATTTTAATATGGCCTTCTCTTTCTAATGTTTTTTTTGGATCGCATTATACGTCGATGTTGTTGGTACAACTGTGGCGTCAACAATTCAGTGAGAATCTACGAGGGACGACAAACTTATTTTTGTATATCGCATTTGTGCAACAGACAAGGTTCAGAAAATGCACTTCTCGTTACTTCAGGTTATTATCGAAGCATTTCTCTGACCAATATTACACATCTTTATGTGAAGTATCAAACATTTCATTTTCTCTGTTTCAGAAGCTACATGCAATGATCACGTGAAGAATCAAAATGAGACTGATGTAGACTGTGGTGGACCATGTGCACCGAAACAAAGATGCACTGATAATAAGGGTTGCAATATGGCATCGGACTGTAACAGCGGCGGCTGCACGTTAAACACCTGCCAAAGTGAGAGTGTGGTAGAGTCCTGCAAAATTAGGGTAAAATGATGACGAAACTATTTCGCTTTCCCCAACA